AAGGAAAAAAGGGGGATTCGGATGGCCTGCGTCAGCCACCGCCATCCCCCGCCTGGGCTTCAAAACCCGACTGGCGGTCTTGATGTCCCTCGCTCCTACTGGACCTGCAGCACCCCCGTCCCTTACCTGCTAGCTTCTGGGCCGCAAAGCAGGCAAATGAGCGCATCATCTTTTCTCCTACGCGGACAAGAATGGTCCTGCAGCGCTCGCATGGCAGCCCAGTCGAGCTGGCACCCTTGGCTGGGCCGACAGCTGCGAACTCTGGTTCGCCCAGCGCTCTCGGTCGTAGACGGCTCTCTTTTAGTGGCCTTGTTTCCGTTTTTGTTCTCGCCTCTGTTCATGCACTCTGCACTGCTCAGCCTCCCCCATTGTTGTCTGCACGATAACCTTGGCAGTGGCACAACACCCGTGTTGGTAACGGTGCGGGTGTGGATGGATCTTTGCGTGGCGAGGAGGGCAGCAAGCCCCGCATGGAACCGAACTGATCGCGCCCCTGCTTTCGACTTCACATGGTGAGACTTGAGGCTCTAGCTGGCCCCCATGCTGGTCTGAAGTTTTTTTTTGTTCTCTGACTCTTTCCCTAGACATTATGAACCGGGAACAGAGATCCCAAGGAGTGTTTCGATATCCATTGTCCTGAGTTCGTCGTGTGTTTTTTCTACCCAAAGAGAAATGTCGCCTTTCAAAACACGTGCCCGGAATTCCCTGCCGATAGTTTTCATTTGTTCGGCTTCACTGCTGCTTAGATATCCCAGGAGTTCTGTCAATTCTGGCTTGCTCAGTCGCTGGAAAACTCGGACGGATGGCAGCAATGGTATAAAATCCATTCCGAGCCTGATGAGGTTGCCTTTCTGCGCTTTCCAGGTCCTAAACGAGAGGGGCGATATGCTGAATTGTGCTGCGAATTTGTCGGCGTGGTTTCCCGGAAAACTTTTTAGTTTGCCGTCGTCGTCAAATATTGTTTTGCCGGGAAAAAGTTTGTCGTACATGACCATAACGGCCTTGGTGGCAAAAATCGAAGCCACCATTCCGCTGAACGCTTCATACTTCTCCCATTGCTGAGAAAGCGAATAGTAATGGTCCACTTGTTTCGCCCAATCATTGGGCAAAACGGAATCTGAGCCCAGGACGAGGCTCTTCCTCTCGGTAGCGATATTGACCAATGTAATAATATGGCCCCTGAGTCGCATTCTCGCATGTGGACCAATTATTTCGTTTGCTAGCTCCCTGAGATCTGGAGTATCCTTCCGCAGCTTCGCTGGTCGCCTGTCTCGTGGTGGCTCTTCTGGTTGACATGACGAGTTTTCTTGAGTGCGTCGTGCCGACGACCCGCCTGTGGAGCGTTTCCTTTTGGGCTGGTGGGTGTTGTCATGGCCCTGTCTTGCTGATTCTGGCTTGCCTGCAGCGCGCCTCCCCTTGTCTTTTGGGGAGACCCTGGCAGGAGCAGAAGCACTCAATGTGGCTGTTTGCTTAGACAATCCAGAGTCGATGTGCTCCGTCTCCTCGCAATCATCATTGGGCGAGGAGGGGGGAGAGGGTGGGGGTGAAGGCTCTACTCTCTTTAATACGCCGCGCCCTTCATTATCGCCCAACGCATATAGACCGCATTCTTGACAAACGCGCCATGTAGATCCCGGGAATATCGGCTCGCTGGGTAGCTGAAAGTTGATAGCAACAGCTAGCGAGGACGTCATGTTGACGACTTCGTGGTACTGTCCGGGTGCGGTGACCACCGCATCGCCAGGACCAGCGACGACGAGATCGAAGTTGATGCCTGCCCTACGCAGCTCCTTCGGGCTAATGAACAGGCTGTGGTGGCGAACCCACTGATCATCGCAGATGCCGTCGCCCCAGCGTTTTCTGATGTATTTCTCGAATGTCGCCGTGTCTTTCTGGGATAGAAGGATCCAGATCTTCCACCCAAAACCGTTGACATTGATCGAAAACCATCTGGCATCTTCGCAATGCATTGGGGTGCTGGAGCCCGACTCCCCGAGATGCAAGTAATTGGTGTTCACACCTGGTATTGTCGGCAATTCGCGGAGTTTACCAGGGTTGAGCAATTTGTTCAATTGCGACAGCGGACCGTTCTCGTGGTCAGGGGAGGGCCCGACATAATATTGGCGAAGATGCCCGCGCATCCTCGTGTGCCTTCTGCGTCCACGTCCTGCAGACCAAGCAGCTTGCGTCTCGTCGACAAATTGATTGGTGAACGCCTCGGCATCCTCTGACGAAGGACGCTCCCGGTTCCCGTCGGAAAGATCAAACCACTCAAACTCCTTATTATCCACATAAACCCGGCAGGCGCCATCGTCGCCAGGACTGAAATCGTTTCGTGTTGCCAGGAGGTCGTGATCCTTTTCGAGCTCGCATTTTCTCACTTCGTCGGTAGTGAGACGCTCAATATCACTAACGTGGAACAGACCGCTGAAGTAACCTTCGCAATCTTTGGAAAGCTCCTCAATGGTGCTGACTAGGTTCTGCCCCAGTTTTTCAGCGTGTATAGTCGGCGGGCGGTGGTTAGGGAGCGGGCGGCGTT